AAGGATCTCCAGCGATTCTGCCATAAGGACTATATAGTCGGCAAATCGAAGGTGAGTGATGTACTCGCCATTGATGTTAATACCGTATCCTTTCTAGTCCAGTAGCTTGAAAACATCTTCCAATGCAGCGGTGAAGAGTTTCGGGGATATAACATCACCCTTCTTGATCACCTTTCATCACCTTTCTCCTTGTCTTACACCTCTCTGCAGTTGGATAGGTTTCTAGCTCTGATTCTGTACTCGGATAGCCATCGTAGCCCTACTGTATAAACACTTCAGCACTTCGATATACCGACAGTCAACTTGGCACCGCTGAAGGGACTGTAGCACCGCCCAAATTTCGACGGAATCAAAGGCTTTCTCATAGTCCACATACGCCAGGCAAAAGTGGCAGATTGTACTCTTCGGTCTTCTGTACAATCTGCCGCAGGGTATGTATATGGTCTATGGTACTGAAGCCTTTTCGGAAACCGGCTTGTTCGGGAGGCTGGAAGTCGTCGAGTCTGCGTGCGAGACGATTCGTAATGACTCTCGAAAACAGCACGTAGACGCGGTCTGTAGTTCTTCAAGAGAGCGTTGTTGCCCTTCTTAAAGAACAAGACCACCGCACTTCTGCTCCACGCCTCCGGAGTAGTGCTACCATGGAGGACGGAATTGAAGAGCTTCTGAATGACTTCAAGTACCGGTGTTCCACCCACATTCAGAAGCTCCGCTGTAATTCCATCCCTGCCGTTTTTAAGGTGCTGGAGAGCCATTCTAATCTCGCTTAGACGACATGTTCAGGATCGTCCCAATCATTATATCAGATTTGAAAGACCACAAATCTTCAAAAGAACACCGATTCCCACCAATAAATTAAAAATTTATTGTAATCTATCGAAATTAAAAAAAACTTTCTAATACATACATAAACACTCACGCCTGTCACTCAGAGGGGTAGGCAGAGACTACGGACTTCCATTTGGCACGATCCTGATATACCTCTTTCGCTTCCTTTACATCCATATATCTACGCATACATGCTCGTCGGTTAAGGGTACTTCTAACGTGCCCCATTTTCAAAATATCGCCAATTTGGTCGATAAACTTTTTTCTAGGGCGTCCCTTCTCGATTCTGCCGTTCACATCTGCCATATAAATTTGCTTTGTCACTCTTTCCTCATTCATTCTTTCTACATGACCAAACCACCGAAGCATTCCTTATGTATATTCCGCATTATATCTATATCCTATATTCCTATGGAGCCACGCTGCAGCTATAATATAGTTGTAGCACCAATGGGTCGGCTCGATCGGGGGCGGTACCATGTTCTCACAGAATACCAGCGTAAAATAGCATGATGAGTGTAGAGAGCCGGAGACCCTTTTTACTGGAATCGAGGCATTCCATCTTAGTCCTCAGGGGTGACAATGCATTTGCATTTTGATCCTTAATAGAGGATAAATGTGGATGTCTATGGGCCACAGCATCCAATTACCCTGGTGGTAATTGGATGCTGTATTTTCGTTTGTCGCCCAATGATATAACAATGGATAAAGCTGACACAGTTAACATAGAGCTCCGAATTAAATTTACTAAAATTAAAAAATAGCGATTTATGAACACAGTAAATCAGTGCTTTCCATATAAAAATAGATACAAATAGGTATTAATAAAACAGATTACATCGGTATTAACGTACGTAGTATTGAAGTGTATAGAAATAGTAAGATCCCTCACCATAATTTTCCTTCAACTAATATTCCTTATCCTTCAACGTAAGTGAAGAACAAACCACCATAGAGCATAGAGCCACGCTGCAGCTGTTATGGTTCTAGCATGAATGAGTCGGCTCGACCGGAGAAGGACCACCCTCTCACAGAATATCGGCGTAAAATAGCAGCTTAATGCTGTCAAGTTTCGTATGGTGAGTGTAGAGAACCGGAGACCCGTTTTACTAGAATCGAGGCATTCCCTCTTAGTCCTCAAAGGCGACAACGCTCCGCATTTTGATTTTTAATCGAGGTTAAAACTTTTTTATACATGAGGGGGCAAACGAGCATGCATGCGGGTGAGTCACCTGATGTTAAGTGACTACCGCCGCCCATGATCAACCGCAATACCAGGGGGATTTGCAGGTGCGTTGACAGCCCTTTAGAAAGGAGTAAGCTCTTTTCTTGAAGGGGGATCTCGTCGAAGATCGTATCGGTCTGGAATAATCGCCGGTGGTAAACTAGTCCGAAGAGAGGTCGTACGCGGAAAAAAAAAACTCCTTGTGAAACGTACAGTGGTATACTGCCAAGCATCCAGATGGTGTATATGGTATTGGAACTTTTACCGCGTAGTGCGTTCACGAAATTTGGGGGCTGGAATTAATCCGAACAATTCCTCAGAGCACTCCCCATGGTGTATGCGAAAGAAAATACAAAAAGATGCAACATATCTTCGCAGCGCCAATGAATCGAGCCGATCTTAAAGCACTCGGTCGTCAACGATTCGAGCCGCTCTGCGCTGGATGCGGTCAAGTGAAAGGAGCTGGCACTGGGGACCCCGGCCCATAGATGGGAACAGTATTCCATGTGCGGCCGAACCTGCGCGTTATAAAGTTGCAGGCGGTGTGCCGGCATGAAATACTGTAAATGTGGATGTCACAACATCCACTTAAAATCAGGTGGACTGTGTGCTCGCTTGTCACCCTTAATCTATAAAAAAAACTGGTGATACTTTAGCTATTTAAATTTGGTAACACAATTCTTCCGACAAATCAGCTGATTTTATCTCCTCAAAGTGAATTGAATAGCGTTGTAAATCACCATCTACCGAAAAAAATAATGGACTAAAACATATTAATTGATAGATTGACCATAGATGACAAGATAAAATGCATATTTTTGTTAGACGAGTATAAACAACAGATGGCGAAAACTAAAAAATAAAAATATTTTAATCGATTTTACAAGTAAAGGAAAGACTATAAAATGTCAAAAATTTGTTTTGAATGCAAGGAAGAAATAACCAAAAGGGAATTTATTGAATGCTCTATTTGTCAGAAAATTTTCCACTTAGACTGCACAAACATAGGAGAAAAACTTTTTTCCTAATTGGATGTCGAAAAAGAAAAAAATTGCCTATTCTATACTATTGATGATGATACTGATATTTATAAAATTGATTCGATAAAATTAAAGAAAATAAGCACATTTTAACTTGTTTATTTCAAGCTATATAATACTACTAATCGATGTCAAGCTATATCCAATTTTGTTTTGTATTATTAATTATTGTAGAACTTGTGAATTCATGATAAAGACTACAGTACGATAAGACACGCCATGCAATGCACACAAAGCTACGTAAATCTCTTATGTAATTTATTTAGGAACGTAACTCGTAACATACATAAACATATAACATAAACACTCACGCCTGTCACCCAGAGGGGTAGGCAGAAACTACAACAGACTTCCATTTGGCACGATCCTGACACAACTCTCTCGCCTCCTTCACATCCATATACCTACGCATACATGCTCGTCGGTTAAGGGTGCTCCTAATTTGGCCCGTTTTCAATAAATCGCCAATTTAGTCGATACATTTTCGCATAGGACATCCCTTTCCGACTCTGCCATTCACTTCTGCAACATAAATTTTCTTTGTCATTCTTTCCTCCTTCATTCAGACTTGTGAACGATAAATCCGACACCTCTTTGGGACAGATGGTCGCCCTCCCGGTGATAGAACAAGTTGCCGGATACGAGAATCACCGTGTCCTCCCCTCTTTGGACCTCGGGTAATCCTATAATATTCCAGCGCAACTTGTCTATCTCTTCTTCCAGTTCCAAGATCTTCTCGTCTGTTTTCAGGTCGCTCGAGTATGTGTTACCAAGTCGAGTCGTCTTAGGTGGCAATCTAACTCCACGGGAGAGAGAGAGACACCTCTTGCCCCGCCGTTACTTTGGTCACCACCGTAGTCAAGTATAGCGGAGTCATCTGGGGGCTATATATTTGTGTGTTCATGTATCAATGTCAATATTCCCTGTATTTGCCATAGCTACCAGTGTTTTTAATGTATTATTGCTGTTATCAGAATATGCTGCCCATCCCCTGCTTTTTTCTCCGTTGCCTCTTACGACATCCATGGGAAGATAAGGGTTAGTGGATATTCCCAATCGCCAATACATGGCAATCGTCTGTAATATTTTCGTAAAATCATTAGCATAGCATAAACACTCACGCCTGTCACCCAGAGGGGTAGGCAGAGACCACGGACTTCCATTTGACACGATCCTGACATACCTCTTTCGCCTCCTTTACATCCATATATCTACGCATACATGCTCGTCGGTTAAGGGTACTTTTAACGTGGCCCATTTTCAAAATATCGCCAATTTGGTCGATAAACTTTTTTTCTAGGGCGTCCCTTCCCGACTCTGCCGTTCACATCTGCCATATAAATTTGATTTGTCACTCTTTCCTCATTCATTCTTTCTACATGACCAAACCACCGAAGCATTCCTTTCTTAACCCTACAGTGGGCGCGCCTTTTCATGGAACGTAAGAGGGCGCGTGTATAGCATTTTGCCGCTCTTAGAAAAGCTAAAATATTACATATTAAATGTTTAAATTTACTATAAATGAGAAAAGTTACTATAAAAAAGAAATTATTCTAAAAGCTTATGTTTTATTTAGCCTTAAATAAAACATAAGCTTTTAGAATAATTATAACTTTTTAATTCAGTCTCATAAATCAGTCTCAAAAAATCAACTTAAAGTTATTCTCAAAAAAATGTAACAAAATATGGAACGACTTCACATAATCTCTTATATAATAAACAAAACCGTAAAAAATTAGAGAAAAAAAAACTTATTAAGCATCTTGGCCGTATTCCCCCGTCAAAACAACCCTCACACAGGTAAACACAGTGCTCGTTGCACAGTAATTTAGCACATACTTTGCACCCTTTTTTTGTTCGTCGATTTTTTTCTCGTAGGACATATTGAGCATATTCCCTCTCGCTTTTCATGGGTTTCTTGGTTCTCCATTGGTACAAATCGAGCGATTTGTCTTTTTTAGTGAACTTGGGAATGTCATTATGCTAGATCTTTTCATTAAATGTGGCCTGACCAGGGCGAGGGATATCTCTTTTAGGTACATTCTACGCAGTAAGACAGTTTTAGTGTTTGCTGTGTAAATAATTTGACTATTTATCCCGCCAATATTCAAAATTGAAAAGAATAATCTCATTGGCCACCTCCGAGTCATTCTGCCCACAGAGTATTCTTCTTTCATCTGGTCAACAGTATCCACTCCACCCTTAGTACCGTTATAAAACGTGATTACTTCGGGCTTCGCATCATCACCGGTTGATTCATCTATCTTATAGTCATCATGCAATGTTGACAAAAGTAGAACGACTTTTTTTGGTTTCTTGTTAGGAACATAGGATACAAGCACTTTTTTTTCATTGAAACCAAACATTGTACTTGGGGTAGCTCTTTCTTTCATATTGAGAAACTGCAGCGGAATTTCTTTTTTATTTTTTTCTCAAAGTACCTACAATAGTTGTACGGTAAGAGTGCACAAGTTGATTAGCAAGTGGAATGGATGTGAAATAATTGTCCATTGTAAGGTTTCGGCCTGTGTTCGAAATATTTTTGACCAATCTCATCACCAGAGATGTAGGACTATTGTCAACAGAAAAGCTTCCTTCTGGTTGCTTACCTGCATAAACATCCAAATTACTGGTATAATAGGACTTTGAATCAACGAGAGCGTTTATTTTTATGCCGTACTTAGCTGGTTTATTTGCCATGTAAACACGAAACTTGCATCGTCCTCTAAATGACTCCAACATCTCATCAATAGTACCATTTTCTCCAATCTCATAATAAGCTAGACAGTTACGTACAAAAGATTCAAAAATATCTCTCATTGCCGCCATGTTATCTAGCTTGACCCGCTCCGTTCTAGTATGAATGTCGTCAAAACGAATGTTCCTCATCAAAAAGTAAAACCTCTTGATTGACATGGTTGCTTTGAATATATCAGGGGAAGTACCATCATCATTCCACATTTCGTGAATATTCACATGATGCATTTTTTTCAAGCCTGCCATCAAAAGAAGACCTATCAAAGCTTCTATTTCTAATATATCAGTTTCTTTAGTATCTCTTTCTCGTAAAAACTTGTGCTGGTTAGCACGTATGCGTATGTTAGTAAAAGAAACTATACCTTCTAGCATTTGTTGAGTAATGAAAAGGCGGAAGCAATCTAGGCGTCTTTGAATTTTTAGCATTTTCTCCACGCACTCCAGGAGGATTCGTAACTATATTTTCAGCTTTTGTTCGTATGAAAGGTCTTGAAGGAGGACTTTTTAACCATTTTGTTCCATCTTTACCTTTGTACACAGGCACTCTTGGAGGACGATTTGTAGTAGGTTCAATGAAATTTCTCTCAGTTTGAAATGTTCGAATTGGTCTTACTCGTATGTCAGCCAAAGGTTCATCGCTCGATGAATTTGAAGATGTTGATGAAGATCTAAACGACAAACGTTCACGATGTTGACGTGCACTGCGAGATGGTCTCCGGGAGGTGACAGAAAAACGGCTGCGACTCCTAGGAATCGTTGTCAATTAATTGAAACTAGTCGATGGCCGATGATCGACTAAATTCAGTCGATGGAAACATGTCTCCGATGACATCATTTCATCTCCTGACTGTTCGGTATCACTATTATGTTCCAAATTTTCACTGTCCCGATCGCTTTCAGACATACTTTCGTCGAAACATTGTGCACCGGTATCTTCTAAATCAGACTCCTCTAACCACGAACAAATTTGCGCGTCTTGCTTATTCATTTTGCTGAAATGAAAAGCTGAAAAGATACTAAACAATACCTCAGAATAAAAAAATAACTCTAAATTTCATAAAATTATGCTACACGATTACATAAATAAACAAAACCATGTAGTACTTACCAAAAAATAAATGTCATTTGGCCAAAAATAAATATGTTAAAACGTTAAATTTTAACTACGTCAGTGGGCGCGCACTTAGCAATTTGCCGCGTCGCAGGACTAGTGCACAACAACTTCTTCCTCCTGTGGTTGGCTGCGCACTGATTGTTTCGTAACTACAAGGGGGGGGGGAGGAGTGTACACGCAGCTACTGAGACGCTTGACCTTCAATAACTAACGGTTTAAATATTATTAACATTTTTTACAAAGTGCGGCAAAATGCTCATAGCGCGCCCACTCTAGGGTTAATCCTGGTCACAACATCATCTTGCATACCACATTTATCTCTTTTCATGCAATTTCTCATCCTGTCATTCAGATTCAACCCTAGCATACTCCGTAAAGACCGCATTTCTACAGCATTTATTCTACTTTCGTGCTTTTTCTGCCACACCCAGCTTTCACTACCATACATTAAAGTAGGGACTAACACAGCATTATGAATTACCATACGTGCCTTTTTTGATACATTATGGTTCTTCACAATAGAGTGTAGTGCCCCATTCACTCTATTCCCTGCATTTACTCATCATTCTATATCCTTATCATATCTACCATCCCTGCTAAATACACACCCCAAATACACAAACTCATCCACTTGCTCAATTAACTCTCCTTCTATTCTTATTTCACATACCATTTTGCTTCCCTCTTTTTTCAAAAACCATCACTTTCGTCTTATTTGCGTTCACTTTCATTCCCCTTTCTTTTAATGCCCAGTTCATTAATGTAACCATCATTTGCAACTCAGCCGCCGATGACGCAAATATGACTTGATCATCGGCATACAAAAGGCATTTGACGGTTAACTCGCCCATTCTTAATCCACATTCTTCATCTTTCAAAGTTTGCAAACACCTGTCCATAAATAGGTTGAACACAGCCAAGGGGAAGCCACACAGCCCTGTCAGACACCCTTTCAGAAGCCAAACCAGTCCGAGTAGACCCCATTGATCCTGACACAAGCACTAGAATCCCTATAAAGAGACCTCAATGCCTGTATCAAACCAGCGCTCAACCCATATGAGTTCAGTGTTTGCCATAACACATTCCTGTGCACTCCGTCATAAGCCTTTTCCAAGTCCATGAACGCACAAAAAACTTTCTGGTTTTTAGCCAAAAACTTCTCCGCAATCATGCGAATGGAAAAGACTTGATCTGTACACCCCATTCCCTTTCTAAAACCCGCTTGCACATCCCAAATTTTTCCATCAGTTTCTTTAATATCTCTTTCAATTAACACCTTAGCATACAGTTTACCAACAATACTAAGCAAGCTGATACCACGGTAGTTTTTGCAGTACTGCTGTGACCCTTTTCCTTTATATATTGGTACTATAACTGCTTTACACCAGTCATCCGGTACCAGTTTTAATTCCCAACATAAATTAAACAAGGTGTACAGCAGGCCTGCCACCACTCCCTCTTCAGCCCTTAGCATCTCGAGTGATACTCTATCATATCCAGCTGATATCACTGAGATATTTTTCATTGATTCATTATAACCTATCAAAACTGCATTGTACAATGTTGGCTTCCTCCATAGATTTCCTAATAAGGGTTATATTTGTGATTGTTACCAAAGTTTGAAATCGGAGTAAAAACCACAGTTTTTGGGTGTTTCTCATTTTTCGTGCACATTACACTAAAAATCTTCATTTTTTAATAAATATCTACATTTCTTATAAAAGAAATCAAATATAAAAAGGTTATACTTACATGCATGTAATATTTACGGTTATAAATAACGTAATAAGTTAATGATAAATAAGAAACTTCAATAATTCTCATTATTTTTAAACAAAAATATGTACATTAAATATAAAAAAGAACCACATTATGAAACTTTATTAAAAGCACAACGTTTAAAAATAACGATAAAGCCACAACATAAAGAAATTTTATTTCATAAATGTTTATCGAAAAAAAAAATTCTGATTACCATCCGTTTTTGGTGAAAATCTAAATTATAGTCTATTGGCGTGAATGTCACTATACCACCATGCCGCGCCCCGAACAAGTCTCAATTATAGTCCGTCTATTGGCGAGAATGTCACTATACCACCATGCCGCGCCATGCACAAGTCTCAATTATAGTCCGTCCATTGACGTGAATGTCACTATACCACCATGCCGCGCCATGGACAAAACTCAATTATAGTCCGTCTATTGGCGTGAATGTCACTATACCGCCATACCGCGCCCCGCACAAGTCTCAATTATAGTCCGTCTATTGGCGTGAATGTCACTATACTGCCATGCCGCGTTTCGCACAAATCTCAATTATAGTCCGTCTATTGGCGTGAATGCCACTATACCACCATGCCGCGCCCCGTACAAATATCAATTATTGTCCCTCTATTGGCGTGAATGTCACTATACCACCATGCCGCGCCCCGCACAAGTCTCAATTACAGTCCGTCAATTGGCGTGAATGTCACTATACCACCATGCCGCGCCCCGCACAAGTCTGAATTATAGTCCGTCTATTGGCGTGAATGTCACTATACCACCATGCCGCGCCCCGCACAAGTCTCAATTATAGTTCGTCTATTGGCGTAAATGTCACTATACCGCCATGCCGCGCCCCGCACAAGTCTCAATTACAGTCCGTCAGTTGGCGTGAATGTCACTATACCACCATGCCGCGCCCCGCACAAGTCTCAGTTATAGTCCGTCTATTGGCGTGAATGTCACTATACCACCATGCCGCGCCCCGCACAAGTCTCAATTATAGTTCGTCTATTGGCGTGAATGTCACTATACCGCCATGCCGCGCCCCGCACAAGTCTCAATTATAGTCCGTCTATTGGCGTGAATGTCACTATACCGCCGTGCCGCGCCCCGCACAAGACTCAATTATAGTCCGTCTATTGGCGTGAATGTCACTATACCACCATGCCGCGCCCCGCACAAGTCTCATTTATAGTCCGTCTATTGGCGTGAATGTCACTATACCACCATGCCGCGCCCCGCACAAATATCAATTATAGTCCCTCTATTGGCGTGAATGTCACTATACCACCATGCCGCGCCCCGCACAAGTCTCAATTACAGTCCGTCAATTGGCGTGAATGTCACTATACCACCATGCCGCGCCCCGCACAAGTTTCAATTATAGTCCGTCTATTGGCGTGAATGTCACTATACCGCCATGCCGCGCCCCCGCACAAGTCTCAATTATAGTCCGTCTATTGGCGTGAATGTCACTATACCACCATGCCGCGCCCCGCACAAGTCTCAATTATAGTCCGTCTATTGGCGTGAATGTCACTATACCACCATGCCGCGCCCCCGCACAAGTCTCAATTATAGTCCGTCTATTGGCGTGAATGTCACTATACCACCATGCCGCGCCCCGTACAAGTCTCAATTATAGTCCGTCTATTGGCGTGAATGTCACTTTAGCGCCATGTCGCGCCCCGCACAAGTCTCAATTATAGTCCGTCTATTGGCGTGAATGTCACTATACCGCCACGCCGCGCCCCGCACAAGTCTCAATTATAGTCCGTCTATTGGCGTGAATGTCACTATACCGCCATGCCGCGCCCCGCACAAGTCTCAATTATAGTCCGTCTATTGGCGTGAATGTCACTATACCACCATGCCGCGCCCCGCACAAGTCTAAATGATAGTCCGTCTATTGGCGTGAATGTCACTATACTACTATCGTAGAGGGTTCACGCTTGTTCGTGAAAAAAATATATTTACGTGTAAAGTTTCGCGGGAGGTGATTATTCTGGAATCGTCCTCTATCCTGTCGTCCATATTATTAAGTGATTATTAGTGATTTTGTTTAATATGTAGTTAATTATCAATTCTATTGATTACCGCCGTAATTTGAAATAAGCACGAGATTCGTAATTTTGATATTTTTTACGAAACAATTGGATAAGAATAAAAACCTTATTACCTACGTAATCATTACCTTTGTTTACCGTCGTTTTTTTAGCGATAGCGATGAGGTTAAAACGATGACAATTAGAATCAATTTTACGTCAATTTATTATTATTTATTACAGTGCATTATTGCATTGCAAACCGTGTGGTTGCGAGTTCTAGTCCCACCCGTAGTTGAGATTTTTTTTCTGCAATAATACTACTACGATACATACATACATAAACACTCACGCCTGTCACCCAGAGGGGTAGGCAGAGACTACAGACTTCCATTTAGCACGATCCTGACATACCTTTCTCGCCTCTTCCACATCCATATACCTACGCATACGTGCTCGTCGGTTAAGGGTATTCTTAATTTGGCCCATTTTTAGTATATCGCCAATTTGGTCGACAAACTTCTGCCTAGGACGTCCCTTTCCGACTCTTCCATTCACTTCTGCAACATATATTTGCTTTGTCAGTCTTTCCGCATTAATTCTTTCTACATGACCAAACCATCGAAGCATTCCTTTCTTAATCCTGGTCACCACATCATCTTACAAACCACACTCTTCTTTTATTACACAGTTTCTCACCCTGTCACTCAGATTCAGCCCTAACATACTCCATAGCCACCGCATTTCTACTGCATTTATTCTACTCTCGTGCTTCTTCTGCCACACCCAAATTTCACTACCATACGTTAAAGTAGGGACTAATACAGCACTGTGAATTGCCATACGTGCCTTTTTTTGACACATTCTAACTTTTTACAATAGAGTGTAGAGCCCCATTTACTTTATTTCCTGCATTCACGTTTTTTTTTCTTTTCTTTTTACTTATTTTTGTTTGTATTTTGATTACATTATTTCATTTCTTATCTCTATCATTTATTGCTATACATGTTGCTTTACATATTTTTCTACCACCTTTATTATTTAATTATTAACATTTTCTTT